GTCTTTGAAATTGGCTCATCAAGCCCTACAAAATGGTTAGCACACATTAGAACCAGAATAACATGGAAGTAATGTTGGAGTACGCCCTCCAAGCTAACTAAGTTGGCATGGCATTTTATATACTTGTGATTATACTCATTATATTTATGACATTTTTTTTTAATCATTAATTATTATTTTTTTGATATATTAAATATCAATAAAATCTTTAAAATATTTACTGTATCAAAAGCTAATAATAAAAAATTATATAATGTAGCAGCAATCTTATTAAATTGTCTATTAATCATATACCTCATTGAAAAAAGATGACCACACTAAACTTACTATGAAAATACAGCATGCATGTATCATTTGTAATATCTTAGCTATAACTCAAGCAGAAGCGATCCTTCCATTTGATATCGTTATTATTTTATTTGAAGACTTGTGTATTTTGACATCATTAAAAATAGTCACTACAAGAGTCATGAGTAATATAGTTGTTAAGTGCATCACAGATTGCATAAAAATAATGAGTGAGCAAGATAGTATTTAACCTTTTTGTTAAGAAAATTGTCTGATTAGTGAGTAATTTGTTAGACTTATGAATGGGCATACTAGGGTTTTTGGTTTAATGTGGTTCAGAGATTGGATTGAGGTGTCTCAATGTTCCGGTATGAGATTCATAAAAGAATCTCCTTGTTTGTGTCTTCCAACTCCTTAATAGCTTGAGAGGCTTGAAATCTCTTAATGGTTTTAGAGAATTGATGGATTTTCCTTAGAAGTCAAGAGCTTTAAAATGGTATTAATTAAATGGTTCTCAGATTGAATTTAACATAATTAATTTTTGTACATCTTTTTTGGGCTGTTAGGGAGATACATAAGTTGAGGTTTAAATGGTTGTAGGCGTGAAACGCATTTAAAGATACCAACGAAATGTGATTTTTGTAGGTACCTTCTGCAGTCAAAGTGTCAATACCTCAACGATAGCATTGACATGTACCTCTGTTCTCAATTAGCTTATAATTTCACTAAACCTTGAGTTCTTTTTAAGTCTAAGATGTGTAATGGTTTTAATCTTTAAACGACTTCCAAAATATGGTTTTAAAAGTGATTTCCATTAAAATCTAAGTATATATCACGGAATAATAGAATTGTAAGGAGTAAAGGTGCAAATAAGGATTCCAACTTTGCACTTTTTTCTATTTAAGGATGTTAACTTTAACAGTTTCTAAATAAAGATGTTAACTTTCAATTTTTTTCTAAATAAGGATGGTAACTTTGTCAATTTCTAAATAAGGATGTCAACTTTTAACTTTTTTCTATTTAAGGATGTCAACTTTCAACTTTCAACTTTTTCTATTTAAGGATTAATTGAATTAGTGATGTTTACGTGGCTAATATATTTTTTAGGTTAAATACCTGAATTGGTCCCTCAACTTTTATTTTTGAACCAATTCATCCTTGAACTTCAGAAAGTACCAAGAATGTCCTTCAACTTCAATTTTCAATAAAT